CAGTTGTATAAGGATCAAATATCTAGTCGGTACCTCTCAGCCTTACGCACTAGCTCAGGCTGTTTCCCCACCAGAGAGGTGAGGTTCAGTGCCCCAGTTGCTAGTCTCGGGACCCGGGGAGTTGTCCTCCAGGGTGTCCACCCCCAGGTGGTGGACCTACAGGAGGGTGGGCCTGTCTCCCTTCCTCGGGCTGTGCCCGGCCAGGCCCCGTGAACTAAGGTCTGGCCACCAAGAGCTCACCTCTGGGCACCCTCCCTGGGCCTGGAAGTAAAATTGCAAGTTTTGTACATTTTTATGCAAAATTTTCTATGTTAGACAAACTGATCAGCATAGGAAAAAAAAAATCATAAAACCTGTTAAATAACTGGAATTTGGAAATCTGAATCTTTATGTGTGTTTACAGTATGCAAACCTAATGATAACATGCTGTTTATACATTTTTCAGAGACTTCCTTTTCTTGCTCTTGAGAAATGATCCAGCTTTCCTTTAGTTTGCATCAGTCTTTTACATCAGTTTTAGATGTGTTTAACTATGCCAAGTGATTCAAAATTGCATCTTTATGTCTTTCCCGTCTCTGAATGACTTGAAACACTGGAGGGTGTTTGCCATTATCCTGTTGATGTGGAGGAAATCTTCAACACCTTCCCATCCCCCATCTTTTTTTTTTGTTTTCCTCCACACATTATTTGTCCTTTTATTGTGATTCTTCACATACCCTGTTCCAAAGAGTAGATTTATATACATTGTGTGCGACCTGGCATGTCCCTGGATAGTCTGGCAGACATCTCTGTCATATTTCGATCAGCTGCTGGCTTTATGGCCTCCCTCTTCTGCCTTTTATAACGTGCTACCTAAAGTCACAGTGAGACTCCTGCATGTGACACATTTCTCAGGTTGAAATAATGTTGTCAAATACTAAAAAAGTTGAAAGAAATGCCCACAGAATGGTTTAGAAATGTTGTTCTTGAAGAATCAGCACTGTTGATCAATTAATACTCGTTTTGTGAAACGCATTTATTGTACTACAGTATGAACAATAATTGCCAAATACCACAGAAAATGTAACATTAAACCTCCTGAAATAAATGGGACACTTCTATGCAAGAGCACGTACCAAATTACGCCAGTCAAATTCATTCCTAAGTAATAAGGTTGGTCCGTCTGATGTCTTGATGCTTGTGTTGACTGTGGACTGTACAGTCACTAACAAAGACCAGAATGTGAAGTATTTCTTCATAAATGTATCTGGTACCAAAATACAACCCTAAGCTGTTGCGTACTCTCTTTTCTGACAGTATATTTTTGTTTCTCCTAACTGAAAGGCAACGACCGAGAGGCAAGATGGGAACAGAGTTCAGGAAAAGTTCATTCCAAATGCTCTATAAAATTCACATATGTTTAATCTTGTGTAGTCTTCTTGTTGAAAACCAGAGGAATCATAAAAAATGTGTTATTGTACAACTCTTGGATCGTTATCATCCTGAAAAAGCAAAATAAGTGATTAAATTCGGATGCAGATGGAAAATGACTTATGTGATTGACTCATTAGACAGAAACTGTGTAAATCTGTTACACATTGAAGCACGGAACAATAGACAAAAGGAAACCTAAAATATAATGCTTTTATTTTTTTTAAGCACTCAAAAACAGCAGAACAAAGAGATGGAAAAGACTAGGAAACTGACAGAGAGCAGGATTCCATGTGATGTTGTTTGCACCAGATACAAACCTTGTCTGACTACAGTCTAAGCTCTGTGCTACAATATAGATGAGAAAGAGAGGGGAAGAGAATGGGTTTCACTGAAGGAGGAAAATGATAAAAAAGAATGTAGAATGAAAAGGTGACCCAAAAATAAGGAAAGTAATGAAAGAGTACACCTGTCACCTTCAGCTTATGTTCCCATTAAGAGTAACTCACACAGGAGCCAGAACATGAAAACCATAGGGGCAGACATGCTAACTAAAGAATTAGTCAGAGACGAGTTAATCGAAACGCACCTGGTTAGAAGAGAAATAAGAGGTTTGATTGTCACGCCATTGTGCATTGATTGCAGACCATAATGTCTTATATGTCCATCATGCTTTTTATTTGTTCTTGTTTCTAATGTCTCTGTAAAGCACTTTGAATCACCTTGTTGTTGAATTGTGCTATACAAATAAACTTGCCTTGCCTTGCCTTGCCTTGCCTTGCCTGTAAATAGATACCAAGTGAGTCATGAGAGTATCTGATATTTTAAGCCATGATTTATACAATAGCTTTCTCTGTAATTTGAGCAGTATAGTATCTTTCATGCAATATTGCATGAATATCGTTCATGCAATATTGTATTGCATGAACTTTGAATGCAAAGCTCCTCTAGCAGCGTCCGAGAAATAAACTGAGGTGATGAAAATAAGAAAATAAGAATAGCATACCTCGTTAAACATTGTTAGTGCAGATGCTATATAATTATGTATAATTAATAGTAGCCTAAACCTTTTGTTGCATTTTCTTTGACAGTAACTACTTCTAAAAAATGCTGTAGATGGATAAACTCAGTATTTATTGAAATGTAAGAAAAGAACAATAAATAAATTTCAGCTTTTCAACTTTTCACATTTAGTTCTGTCCTCTTTTTCTTGCATTTGTTTGTCATGATTATCAAATTTTTGAGTTGTGCTATTTGGAAAATAAAAAGATTCAGAGTTTTTACATTGTACAGTTACCATTGCAATTTTCTTTGATCTGACAATACTTACCTCATTTTCTTTATTTCATTTTCACTCTCACGTATTTCCTGCCCATTTGATCAGATCCCCCTGCCCTCGTTAGTATCAACCGTATCCAGTAACCCTCTTCTCCTGTGTTCCTTTTCCCCTGTGGCAGCTAAACTCAGTGTTTTTGTGTCTCACATTCCAGCTGTTTCTCCTCACATTCTCCTTGTAGTCATTAGATTGTACTGTTGTGTTATTGATACTGCTGTTGTGTAGCACTTTTTTTGGGTGGGATACAGCCAGATTTATTTGGACTGTGTAGCAAACTTTGTTGCAAGTAAAGACCTTCTTATTCAAGCTGTCTGAGAGTGACTCATGCATTTGAGTCGCATCTGTTGGGATCCTCGTTACGGTTCCCAGTTGACTTGACAATCTTAGACTTTATACATAATGGTTTCGAAGCGACAGTTCCCCCATGTCTAATATGACAATGATTCGCATTCGTTCTCTGTGTTGAATGCGTAATTTATATTGTGTACTTTGATTGCACAGTTATTTTCTCATGTTGCCACTATACCGGTGAACAAGAAAGCACTTTGCCTCGTGTTTTTCTATGCATAATTTGTCCTATTCAAAGTTATACTGGCTTGCCTAAAACAATCGGCTTTTCATCCTTTTCATTTAAGATTATTTTACCCGATTGACTAGAAAACAATTCTGCGCTTATGTTTGATGAGGACATTTGGATGTGCAGAGGACATTTATACAAAACCGAAGCTGGTGCTTAATACTTAAATCTTCAAATCTCCTCTCTGGCCTGGTGTTTTAGAAAACACTGTACAGTCTGTGAATATTTGGTTGAATCACACAGTCTGAACTGTTTTTTTCTCTCCAAAATTCTTAATGCCACTATGAATATTTGAAAGGGGATTAGATGAGTATTTACTCAAAAGATGTGAAGCCCCATTTCTAGCACCTGCTTGGATTTAGCCCACTGATTTTTTCATTCCACACAACACCGAATCCCATTTCATCCCAATTACGCAGGCATAATCATATCTGTTTAATTGAAATGATCATATTCGTCAATGAAGCACTCCCTGTAGATGCATTTCTCCTTAATATACTTCATTGTACAGTCTATTAAACACACACCAAAGCTTGTAATAATTAACAACAGAGCATGCATACCAGTGTGACAATTATAGTTGTTTGTAATAGCTGGTCAGTCACTGACCTGTTTATTTATGGTTCACCTTAAAGTTCTTAATTTTCATTGAATCTCTATGAAATTATATTTTCCCAAAACTAGGGTGACATGGTCTGCAAAAAAAATCATCTCTCAACAAAAAAATGTGAATGAGACAAAAAGAGACATGCAGATCTACTGATGTATCAACAACTGTAACCAAAACGTTGCGTTTCTATCAATGTTAACAAAATCCCCAGCACCACTGGCTGCAGAAACTATGTTCTCTTTGGAATTTTAGATTCAATGAAATGTGTATTTTTTTTAAAGACCACTTTAAAAAAAATTACAAGAAGAAACGAGGGGTAGTTCGAGACTTTTGCACACTGTCGTATGAATGATGGTGACTATATGAGGAGTAGGCGTGTTCATTAATATCTATCAGAATGCATGTTATTCTCTAGCACAACATGTAATGACTTTTATGGAGCCAATATTGAAGAAAACTGCAGGGCTTTTTTTAAATAACATTATGCCAAAGCCAAAGTGAAGAATTCAAGACTGTGTGGCAAAACCGAAGGAAAACAGCACCAACAAGCCTGAGGTGCGGGTTACTTAACAAAATTCAGTAAGGAGGAGAAACAGCAGCTGATGTTTTTGACTAATTATGAAGGTGGCACTTCCAGCTGTGCCACTCTAACAATGCGCAATCTTCCCCAGGGGGGAAACTGTTGATGTGTTCGCATAGTGCATAAAAGAAACCACGAATAGGACCGAGTTGTGGGAATGTTCTCTTTCTGGTCATGTTTAGATTGAAATTCTTATTGGCTGCACTTCATTCATTACCAGTTCAAGCATGAGGTCTTCAAGGTAACAGTCTGTAGAAATCAAATGAGAAATGCACCAAGAACGTTTTGCAACCCCCTACCGAAAATACTTTTGGTTGTATGTGTGCGTGATTTCTCTCTTTGTCTTCACACATGACGCACGTTGAAGCATGTGGCTAGAATATTGGACATGAATATTGCATTTCAATTCTTTCCATGGGGATTTGTTTTTGCAGAAACAATCGAGTCAACTAACCATTAACAGCCATTCATGTTGTCGTTTTTCCAGGTATTCCAAGGGAACTTTGACAACGACACACACAGAAAGAACGTGATAGACCCGCCTATCTACGCTCGGTTCATTCGGATCCTTCCCTGGTCGTGGTACGGCAGGATCACTTTGCGTGTAGAAATACTCGGATGCACAGAGGAAGAGTAAACCCTTTCCTTCATCTTTCTGCCCATCGCCCCTTGTCCCTTGGCATACTGGAGTGTCTCACAAAGTACTTCAGAAATAAACTGTGCAACCTGTAAAAAGAAATTGATTTCCAATGGATTTTTCAAGAGTATGCGTTGGTTGTGATGGGTTGCTGTTTGTTCTTTTGTACAATGATTTAAAACCTGCCCCTGCCCCTGTTTGTCCTTTTGTTTTTCCTATTTAAAGCGTGATCTTTGTCTTTTTATTCCTCTCAAGATTTGCCATCCTGTTTGGAATGAACTTCTATAATATATATATGGGAGGGGTGGGTTTGGGGGTGGTGTCAGAAAGGGAGTCTCCCTGTGGTTTTAACTTGTTGCCATAGAAGCTATTGTACAGTGTCACTTTTTAACAAATGTGTGAAATCTGTCTGTTGTGCTTCATTGGACATGATTAACCAGCTTCATGCCATGACTAAACTGTCTAAATGATCATGTAGATGACATGTTATCTCATCATCAAATGTGTTTTTACTTTGAATACAGCACCTCCTCAAGCCATGCCTTTTCCCTAATGGACACTGGCATTACAGCATCAATCAAAACACTGCTAAAGCTCTTGTATTATATGTAAAAGACTAAGAAATTGCATGGTGCGTGAACTATAAATATATATTATGAGAAATCATTTAAAACCTCCAGCCCTGAAAGCAAATGGATTTGATTTAGAGACCTATTTTTATGTGCATTTTTAAATAGTTCTGAAACATTACAACACACTGCAAAAGCTTAATAAAGATGACTGATACGTGAGACAAAAAGCAAGCGCTGCAGTTTAAAGTGGTTCTGCAGCACTGACACTGAGGCTTATAAGGTTGTATGTAGTTGAAATGTTAGCTCACATTTTTTTTAACATTCGATTATTGCTAGATGTAAGATTATTTGCTATTATTGTTTGTTTGCCATTTTGCATTTATTTTATTTTGTTTGGTTTTTCAATCTCAGCTGTTAGATTCACAACATGTTTTTAATGTCCTCGTGTTGTCTTGGAGATCTAAGTCAAATCAATTAAAAAAGCTCAGGATAGATGTTATCCATATTAACCCACAGCGCATATTTTTGGCCTCCTAGTTGAAGATTTCTGTGTTATTATTTAAAGAAAATACCACATGAGTGAAAGTAATTATTGAAATCATCCATATATGCATAACTCAAACGCTGAAAGCAGTTTCTTAATATCCTTAATTTCTTTGACTTGATAAGTGAAAACCTTTAATTAATTTCCTCATTTTCAAAAGACAGGAAAATTGCTCGTATTACTATCGTCATCTCAGACCTACAATGACCAGAGTGACAGAACAGAGCTGTAAATTAATTATGGAAATGGAATAATAAGCTTTTATTAAAATACTGGATTAAAGTATAGGAATAAAATATTAAAATGCTTATATGTGTTTCCACTGTTGCTCTCTGCATTTTCAAATGGTTGCAGGTTGCTAAACATATTTAAAGACTTGCAGTTTTTACTGTATGGCTTCTCTTGTTGGCTACATCTGCAGTAAATGAACAGCAATGTTTAGCCAGTTAAATAAATGGAAGCAAACAAACCCTGAGGTATTGCAGTAGTGTCAGAGCTTGTGGGCCTGTATCGGACCTGGATTGCTCAAGGGTTTTCCACTCTTGGCTAGTTTTTCCAAAGCTCTCTAGTGCAACAATTAAATCCAAAAGGAGCCACTTCCGCTTTGATACTCCATGTTTCACTTCAGCCTTGTCAGCTTTCAGGCCCATAACAAACCCTTCATTTTATATTTTCAGAATCTAGTTCTGAAAAAGAAAGTGAGAAATTTACAGGAATTCTGTACTGAAATAACTGCATCAGCCTTTAACAGATATTTTGATGGCATGAATGAATAAAAATAAAAATCCTCTAACATTATTTTTTAACTTAATTCTGCAATGTGAAATGATGAAAAGTACAGAAAGACATCATGAATTCTTCGAGACAAAAGGTAAAAAGTCTGAAATTAAAAAAACAAAACCTAACAATGAAGTTACCTAACAACCAAGCATAGGCAGTAGTGTAGGTTTGGTAAATGGCAGTGTGATATGATATAGTATGCTATAATGGACCGGATGTGTGTTAAGATGTTATTTAAGTGTTACGTATTTGTGTAAGTAACATCGAAAGTCTGCTGTAGATTACCTATGTGTTTCTTTTTCTTTGTCTTTGGAGTGAACTGGTCCATTGACACTTCATAGGTTCATGATCACAGGACACACATAAGTATACGAGTATCTCTTGTATATTTTACATATTCGCTGTGATTCTTTATCGACAAGTATCAAGTATTTCCAAGATCTGCTCCAGTTTGTCTTTGTAGTTAATTTGTCGTGAGCATTTATGACAAAGCAGGTGTGCTGCAAAGCTTTGTGGAATTTTGCATGATGATTTGAAGCGTACAGTACAACAAGGATGTCCACAGGCACATTGTGTTCTTGCATATCATAAAGATCTAATAGCCTTTACTTTGTATTCACCATCAGTTGTCTTGTGCATTGTAAAACTGAAGCATCTCACGGGTCCAAATGGGGAAAAAAATAGAAACTCATCATGTCTTTGTATTTCAGTGTCAACTGTTCACATATTATTTCTTACTTCCTCAATCTCACTGTCACCCACTATCTAGAAAATGTACCCATCATAATAATAGTTAGGTTCAAGCCTGCAGAGGAGAATCTAAAACTCTGTACAGTGGAAAAAAAAAAGACATTGCTTCAAAACAAAAAGTTCTTTCAGTTTGACAAATAAAAACATATCTGTGAAAATGATACGTTTGCTTTGTGTTTTTTGAAATCTTTGATGCCATTGATATTACTTTAGTAGGAAACATAATAGCTTCAAAAAAAGAGTTTCCCACCTTTCTAAAGGCTGGGAACGCAGCATCCACACAGTGGAGCACACAAGTATTTCAAAGAGAGAAAGTTATCTTTGCTTTTTATGTTTTCTTTTTCATTTTAGCATCATAAGTCTTTTGCTGTTTCACTGTTGTTACAAAATTAGTTCAATTTCAAACTTCTTTCAATAGCCACAGCGCAACAGCCTTTTTTCCCAGGATGTGTGCTATTTCACAAAGACACACACATACAATGAGTTATACAGTGAGTACCCCTTATGTCAAGGATAAGACTAAATGCCTATGTGGAAAATAAAGATTTGTTAGTGTAATTGTCAGCTGTGAACGGACTGGTTTATGATTTGTGACAAACAATTAAGTCTCAAGGTTCAACAAACTGCATTCATACAATCCCATTAAATAAAAACCCAATCACTAACTGAGTGTACAATATATATCCAGGCTTTTTGATGCCATTTTAGCTAAAAACAATGAAATATTATTATTATATTATATCATTAGTTATAATTTAATGTTTTTGGAAATGCTTTTTTGCTTTCAGTAATACATTCATGTTTGGTCACTATGTAGCCAGTATTCCTGTATTAGTATTAATAGCAACCTCTTGCATAGTCTGCAAATAGGGAAACAATTCAAATGCTTACCAGCACAAACATTACGAATTCTTAGGATATTTAAACAAGGCATATTTCAGGCAACTACTTTTCCATTTCATTGAAATCCAAGAAAAAAAGTTAGACCAGTCGATTTGTCAGAAAACTCTAAGAAAACACTGACATTGAGCAAAAAAAAAACTCTACATGGATACCAATTAACTGGTAGTATCTAATATTATGGTACAAAACAATTATTAGTAACAAAAAAAATAAATTGCAGTAACAAGTTACAATGGGTATGACATGAAGCTGCTGAGCTAGCTGTTTCCATCCTCAGTGTTCAGTTTACAGTAATGGATTGGATTTATGTAGCACTTTTCAAGGCAACCAAAGCGCTTTTCAATGCCACTATTCATTCATTCTCACATTCACACACTGGTGGAGGCAAGCTACAGTTGTAGCCACAGCTGCCCTGGGGCAGACTGACAGAAGCGAGGCTGCCATATTGCGCCATCGGCCCCTCTGGCCATCACCAGTAGGCAGTAAGGTAAAGTGTCTTGCCCAACGACACAACGACCAGGACAGAGAGCCCAGGAATCAAACCGGCGACCTTCCGGTTACAGATACGCTTCCCAACCCCTGAGCCACGGTCGCCCCAGTACAATCATTGCACCTATTCGTCCAATTTTTGGCATTACTGCCTTTGCTGTTTTCGTTGTACCAGCAGCTACAATTTTGGAGGAATGTTTCAGAGTTGACACCAGCTGACAGTAGCAGTACAAACTTTGATCACTCCCACTCAGCATGCAGCAGCAACAAATGCAGCACCACAATCACAGAGCTACCCGAGCGGCATAAGACCAGCACATCCATGAGTAACATGGTAATCATTAGTGAAGACCTTGTGCTGCTATATGGCCATAAAAATCATCGACAGACATCAGTATTAAAAGCATCATCCTTTTTCTTTGCCAAGGTTGATGACTTTGACTGGATTTTTCATACCTTATAGAATTTTACAGTTTAAAAATACTTGTTGTAATTTGTGATGCCTCCATTTAAACCAAAGAATAATTATGTTTCTGCTCCCATTTCTTGTCCTCTGTTGCCTTGCTGTTTCCTGAAAGAAACATGTGAATTGGACCTACTCATGCTATTTGTTATATTACGACTAAGCAGCAAGTTGCACCTGTGACGTTAGTAGAATAGTGGCACCCTCATCAGTTCTGCTCGTTTCCAACCCCCCACTAATTTGCACTGCTCTTTGCAGACTGCATTGTTCATTGCTGATATGAGCTGACTGCCTTGGTGTTCCTAAATTCGTGCATTGTCCTTAGATCTCACACAGAATTTCTTTGGTGGTTTTTTTTTTCGATTACAACCTCGCAGTAATTTACCATGCATGCCAGATCTGACCCTATGTTTCATTGATTTACTGTGACATGCGATGGCCATTCTGTGCCTCCCTGAGGTTAGTGCCACAGTTGTGGCAGCTTATCAAAATGAGAGTTACAGGGCTAACACAGTGCAGGCAAAAGTCCACTAATGCTTCTGCTATGGAAGTGTCAGTCCAGTTTAATGTAATTGGCTTGTAAACCTAGGTGACTGAAGCTATAGGGCAATTAAAAAGTGATACGAAAAGGGGAAAAAATCAGTTTAGTCGAGTTAGCCATGCCTTTTAATACCCTTAAAGATTTTACATTTAAATTAGGAAGGGTCACGTTAAGGAAGATTGTGCATGCAACATTCCATCTAATCTACCTTAGATGTAATGTGAATACATATTATGGTGATCATTTATTGCATAAAAAGTTCAAGAAGTCAAACATTTTGTTTGATATATGGAATTTCCCATGTTGGGTCTGTCAGTAAATGCAACATGAGGTGAGCACTGTGACTCTGGACCACAAGAAGTTGTTGTTCCACTTGCAATAAAGAAATGTTCTGCAAGAGCCCTGGATCGATCCTGGTTTTGGATGTTGGAAGACATTTACATTATGAATCAAAGTTGCTGTTCACTTGACTGGCAAAGCAATTTCCCTGTGTAGTCGTGTTTTTATTCATCTGTTGGTTTAATTTTCACATCATGTGTTTTTAATTTCTTGTTCTCTTACTTCCCACCTTAGTAATCAAAGCAATTCTTGTTTTTCTCTCCATTTTATGTCAAACAGCTGTTGTTTTTAAAGGCTCTGTAATAAAGCAGAAAATTGTTTGCCATTTTAGTTTCAGCATTTGTGTTCGTGTTTGGACTCGTCTTTGTTGTCTTGACCTTTTATTCTATTTGCAGTTTCACGTCTCTTGTCTTCTCCCAAGCAAGGAGCCTTAATCTATTACTGTGATCAAAAAGCAAGTCATATTTAATCTGGTGGCCCCATGATTGAATTTAGCTTTACAAACTGAAATAGCTTAACAGATTAAAGGATCACGAAACCTTATAAACCTGAGGTAGA